ATACAGTTGGATACGCATCGAGCAGATATGAATGTATGAGAGAAAATCATGGAGAATTGTGGTTTAAAAACAGTAAAATCGATCTTGCTAACCGAAACGTTCCTCTGTGGATCAATCGGTAAGAGCACGTCAGGCTATAGGACGATTCCGTATAGGATACAGGTTCAATTCCTGTCGGAGGCCGCATATTTTCTATTTTTCGGAAATTCAGGCCGGTAAATGTTGTTAATACTGTTTATTATAAACAGAGCATTTACTTAAATATTTGTATCTATAAAAAAGAACGAATAAACATAAAAAGTGTCTCAATACATACATACATATATACATATATATATATATATATATATATATATATATATATATATATATAATCTTGTATATATGTGTGTGTGTGGTATCTGAATGTGTGTGCGCGCATATGGGTATTTATCATTTCACCCACGGGAAACGAATATGGCACAAGGCTGGTTTTATTGTGGGTATCCCCGAGCCCGTAGGCTCGGCCAAAAAAATGTGTGTGAGCGTCGACCTAAACTTTAAAGGTAGTGCTTAAGTAATTGCCGTTATCAAGTTTTTAACTATTCTCTAGCCGTGTAGTAAAAGACATTTTCCCACATCAGAGTGTCGAATATATATTTTTCTTGCGCAAGTTTGCCATGAAAAAAAAACAAACAATACAATAGGCACACAAGGAGATCTTCACACCGGCAAGTGCTATCCAATTTCCTTTCGGTAATCATTTACTATAGACTATATCGCGTTTTCTTTTAATAATAGTAGCAGTTTGCGCCTAGAAGGAACAGTTAACTTGGCATCTGCAACGATACAGTGCGACCAAGGTTTACATATATCACGGTAGCCAGTGAATACAATTAGATGACCTTCCATCTTCCCTGTTGCGAATGCCGCCATCACTATTGGCATGTTATAGGCCTGGGGTTCAAGAAAGAATTACTTGTAACCCTCATCTGAAAATGAATAAAGAATGAAAAATATAGGAAAAGAATTATTTCGGTATAAGTAGCGGCGAAAACAAAAGAAGTCTAATGCAAAAAAAATAGAAAGATAATAAAAATATAAAAAGTAAAAGAATGCAAAACGTCCTGTGTAAGATAACTGACATTCTTCACGCGTATTCCCGGTGCGCATGCGTGCAAACGTGTTTGTGTGTCGTCTTCGATTTAACGATGCTGACCGCATCGTGATAGGAACAATTGAAAGTAAAAAGAATGGTAAAAGGAGACGAGGAAAAAGATGAAGGCAGAAAAATAGGTTGATATTGGGATGAGAAGGAAATTAAGAAAATATAGGCGGAAAAAGAAAATGTATATCTGCTTATAAAGTATTTTATTCTAAGATTACGTTTCAAACTCTAATTTTGAGTCCATGTCTTGTCTTTCATTGTTTTTCTCTTTCGATATACATTCGAATTGAATGAGTTTTTTTTTTTCTCTTTCTTATCGATATGTGTTCAATATCTTTGCTTTTTCTTTTAATTTCTCATTTCATTCAAATTTTCTTTCTTTCATTTCTTGTTTTTCCTTTGTCTTATAATTACATGTTTTCTTTTCTTGCTTTCATCTTCTATCGTTTTCTTTTTTCTTTCTTTCTTTTTATTTTATTGTTTTTTTTTCATTCATCGCTTTTCTTTCATATTTCTTCCTATTTTGCTTCCGAATTTTAACATTCTATTTTCAGTTTATTTTTCCCTTTTGATGTTTTTCTTTATAGCCTTTATAGCCTTTTTCTTCTTCTTATTTCTTCATTTTTTTTATTGTATTTCTTTGATTCAATTTCCCTTTTTCGAGTCGGGACTTATTTCATATTTCTTCCTTCACTTTACTTCCATTTTTAATATCGAGTTCTTTTTTCTTATTTTTCTCTTCTTTTTTACATAACTTTATTTTTTCTCCAGTAATAGTTTCTTTCTTTTTTTTTTTTCTTTCTTTTTATAGCCGTCTTATTCTAAGAAAGCTTTATTTCTTAATATATTCCTTTCTCATAGCTTCTTCGTTCCGTTTTTCTTTCTTTCTCAAAGACTTTCCTGTTTCTTTCTCATAGCCTTTACCGTCTTTCTTTCTTTCTTCTTTCTTTCTTCTTTCTTTCTCACATACTTTCTTTAATTTCTTTCTGTCTTTCTTTTTTATAGCCTTTTCTTTCTTTCTTTCTTTCTTTCTTTCTCATAGCTTTTTCTTTTTCTTTCTTTATATCTTTTTCTTTCTTTCTCATGACCTTTTCTTTCTCATAGGCTTTTCCTTTCTTCCTCCTTTCTTTCTTTCTTTCTTTCCTTCTTTCTTTCTTTCTTTCTCATAGCCTTTTCATTCTTTCTTTCTTTTTTCTTTCTTCCGATAGCCTTTTCTTTCTTTATTTCTTTTTCTTTCTTTCTCATGACATATACTTTCTTATAGACTCTTCTTTCTTTCTTTCTTTCTTTCTTTCTTTCTTTCTTTCTTTCTTTCTTTCCATTGTCTTTTCTTTCTTTCTTTCTTTTTCATAGTCATTTCTTTCTTTCTAAACGTCGTTTTATTTTTTGTAATACTTCTTTCTTTCTTATATATTTTTCTTACTCGTTTTATTTCTATAATAATGCTTTAAAAATACTACATTTTCTATAGATTCTCTGTGTCTTTTTTTCCTAATAATATCGACACATTTTCTTTAACTAATTTGTAATTTTCCTTTTTTCTTATAACGTTTTCTTTCTTTGTTTTTCTCCTTTTCATAGCAATTTTCATTTCTTTCCCTATATCTTCCCCTCTCTCTCTCTTTATATATATATATATATATATATATATATATATATATATATATATATATATATATATACGCACACACTTATATAGGTTTGGACGTATGTATATCTATCTATCTATCTATCTATCTATCTATCTATCTATCTATCTATCTATCTAAGTCTGCTCACATCTATCTCAGTATCTCAATCTGTTCATATCTATCTATCTATCTATCTATCTAAAATTAGATAGCGGTATATCTATCTATTTATCTATCTATCTCAGTTTGTTCATTATCTATTTATATCAGTTTTATTCATATCATCTATCACAGTCTATCCATATCTATATATCTATTAATCTATCATTGTTCATATCTATCTTACTCTGTTCATAATCTATCTATCTATCTATCTATCTATCTATCTATCTATCTATCTATCTATCTATACCGCTATCTAATTTATTTCGTTTCTGAGCTTTTTCATGGCTTTCGTTTTTATTTCCTTTCAGTTTTTTTTTCTACGTTTTGTTTTTAACTCGATTATCATTCTCTTTTCCGTTTATTTGTGCTTCATTTCATTCTTTTTATGATGCAAATTCATTTTATTTCTTGGCCGAAATCCCCGGACACTTACGTTTATATTCCAGTTCCTGAATGAGGAATTTCACTAAGTAACGAGCAGCAATTTTGTCAAGTGAACAACCACAGACTCTCGGCTAAGCTTACTTTACCAAAACAAAGTCCTTACACGTCTTAACTCAGGTATTATCTCTCAGGTTAACACTTTCCTCATTGCTCACCGTTTCTTTCTTTCTTTCTTTCTCTTGTCGTTCGTTCAATCGTTCCTTTCTTTCTTTCTTTCTTTCTTTCTTTCTTTCTTTCTTTCTTTCTTTCTCTTGTCGTTCGTTCAATCGTTCCTTTCTTTCTTTCTTTCTTTCTTTCTTTTTCGTTCCTTGTTTCTTCCTTCCTTCCTTCCTTCCTTCCTTCCTTCCTTCCTTTCTTTTTCGTTCCTTGTTTCTTACTTACTTCCTTCATTTCTTTCTTTCTTTCTTTTTTCTTTCTTTCTTTCTTTCTTTCTTTCTTTCTTCGTTCCTCCCTTCCTTCCTTTCTTTCTTTCTTTCTTTTTTCGTTCCTTGTTTCTTTCTTTCTTTCTTTCTTTCTTTCTTTCTTTCTTTCTTTCTTTCTTCGTTCCTTGTTTCTTACTTCCTTCCTTCCTTTCTTTCTTTCTTTGCTCGTTCGTTCGTTCGTTCTTTCGTTCCTTTCTTTCTTTTTTTCTTTCTTTCTTCACATCTATCTATCTATCTATCTATCTATCTATCTATCTATCTATCTATCTCTTCTCACTCTTTTATATGTATGTATATATCTGTCTATTCTCACCCTTTTATATCTATCGATCTATCTATCTGTCCATCTTCATTCTTAACCGCAGCACAAACTTCGTTAGAAAGATTGGCTTAAAGAGTCACCGTACAATACACTATTGGGCTAAATAACTCAGAGACGCTATGTAAGGACCGGGTTTCTTGCAGAGCTGGTGTGATCAAGATCTTCCATGAGGCATCACAAATATATGCAGAACTGAAGAGAGGGGTTCGGTAATGATCCCTGAATTGCCATGAGATGGCAATCTGTCCATGTTCCCTATGCAATTGGATATGTCTGTCCAAGGTGGGTCTGCTCAGTCACCAGAAATCACACCCAAACCAAAAGACTGTAGCATATGACGATTTCGTAATGGCGTGCTTTGAATGTGCGACCTGCACTAAAGTCCAGGTAGGAGATGACTAGGCATATTAAAAGTGACATTGAAAGTGAGGATGATCAAAGTCAACTTCCACCACCCGCAGATTATTTGATATGCCAGATATGTGACAAGAAATGCAGATTTATAACCAACTGTCATTCACACAATCGGTAAATGGAGTGTTGATTTGTTAACTGAAGAGCGGGACATGTCAGTGATAGTCATACTCGCTTTGTGAGTCGACAGACAACATATATCTATTTATTTCTCTATTTTTTCTCAACAATTTATATCTATCTATCTATCTATCTATCTATCTATCTATTCTCTGTCTTCTATCTATCTATTCTCACTCTTTATATATATATATATATATATATATATATATATGTATATATATATATAATCTTTCCTTCTCTTTTCTCTCTCTCCCTCTCCCCTCAATACAATATCTGTATCTTTGAATTTAACCTGGCGTATTTTTTGTCGTTTATATTTGGTTTGCAGGTCGGAAAAATTGAAGGTTATTTTTATAAATATCATGAAATAAAGATTATTACCTATGGTATTTTTAGGTTTTGATATTCATTAATTAATAGTTATATATATATATATATATATATATATATATATATATATATATATATTTGTTTGAATAAAAACAGATCACTTAAAGGTTCCATTTAATAAGTTATTTCACCACAACCCTTTTAAAGGGCTCTGGATCATCAGACTTTACTTCTAAAGGTTGAAATGAAAAATGAAAAGAAACTTACACATTTTTGACGGACCGCACCAAGCATATGTAAAATTAACAAAGTGAGGAAGTGAGGTGGGAGAGAAGATATGAGTGAGTTAGATGTACCATTTTCAATTCTTTATTCTTAACCCCACTCTGTTTAGGCTAGACGTCGCTTAAACTTAACGCGTGTTATCTCTAGATATAGATGGATAGAGGGGTGAGGGAGAAGACCGACATTAAAGGAAGAAGCTACAACAACCCTAATAAATTAAATTCCACGAGGGCAGGTTTCACTCAAATTCTTAGACGCTGTTAATTCGCATTACTTTAAAGGGCATATTTGGGAGGTTAAGGTTTGATAGAAATCTAAATGTCTAAACAATCTACGAAGAATTTAATTTGAAGTTCGTTGGAGTTTTGGGTATTTTCTATGAAACAGTCGATTGGAAAAACTCATGGAAAGTACATTGAAAAAATAATCCATTTTATATTTAGTAATCTTCTTTATATTGCTAAACCTTTTTCTTATTGATTGTTAAGTTGACATCTATTCGTTTGATTTTTGTTCATTAATTAAATAAAATCGTGACTGTTTTTAGGTCCCTAATTATCAATATTGTATTTCAATTTAAATTATTTTATCGTCAATAATTAAAGGGGTATATATATATATATATATATATATATATATATATATATATATATATATATATATATATATATATATATATATACTTTTTTTCGTATTTATTCATCCCCTCATCTGTCTATTCGCACTCACATAATATCAATTTGCATTCATTTATATCAACCAAATCAGTAAATAAATAAATTAAGTAAATAATAAACAAATTAATAAACGACACACTCCCAGGTAAGCACAATAAGCATAATAATAAAAATCAAAAACAACTACTAAAATAATCAATAATACATATTGAAATAAATATTAATAAACAACACTATAGCTTAGCCACAGAACTGCATTCAGATCCAAAATTATTTCCACTCATATAGCCTAGAATAATTTGAAACGTGGCCGTTACCACCCACCCAATTATGGTAAAGAAATTATATAGACCTACCCATAATATTCCAATGGGCATCATATAAAAAATTGTCAAACCAAAATACGCATATGGGCTGACATTTGCCCGTAAGAATGAAATAGACACTCGCTGCTGGATGTTGGCCTCAATGTCCACATACATACATACATACATACATACATATATATATATATATATATATATATATATATATATATATATATATATATAGGTAACTATACTCGTTTCGAAAAACCTTCGAATTTTTGATTTGCCAATAATCAAATCAATCACGAAGGGAAAAAAAAGCTATGTACAGAGGAGAAATTAGCCATAGCTTTATATAATCAACCTAACGATCTATTAAATTCTAAAACCGAGATTATTAAAAAAAGGAAGGCATAGAAAATCTTGATTATTGAATTAGGTTTAATCTCCCCGTTTGTATTTTCATTCCACCTTTATTATTCGTGTTTTAATTATCCTCCCCCCCTTTTAGTCGTTTGAATAAATCTTTACTCCCCACCCGGTGTTGTTTTTCTTGTGTTTTTTCTTTTTCTTTTTCTTTGGTCACATGGTATGATTTTGATTAACGCCTATAATTATGCTATTTCCCTTTTGCCTCTTTCGCCAGCTTTCCCTGACGATCCGCTTAGGTGAAACCTAGGTAGTTTTGTCTGCCTCACTAGGTATATATATATATATATATATATATATATATATATATATATATATACCCTGGTGAAAATTAATTGAAACAACTGATTTAGATTATTTGCAGTGGTGTGCAGTAATATGAATGTCTTTTTGGGGTGCATGATGAGATTTGTTTGGCCTTAAAAAATATCAGATTTTTTTTCACGCGCAGACACTATTGTCTCGACTGTTGATTAGTTGTCCTACGGTCATGGTCCACGATGGATGTTATTCCAAGGAAGCGTACGAAAATTTTAGAGCTGCGCGAACACTCTGGCAGGCCTTACTAGTGAGCAAATCAAAGTACTATTCTCCTGATTTAAATCCAATCGAGAATCTGTGGTCAATATGCAAGGGACATCTTCGTGGAATGGACATACGAAGTACTAACATGTGCACGGAGTCATTTTTCATTGGAAAAATACGAACAAAAAGTAAATAATAACGGAATTCTTCGTTTTCTTTCAATTAATTGGCAAAGAGTGTATATGGAATCCCTTTCAAAATTGTAGAAAAATCAATTG